ACTGGTTGCTGTAGTGAAAGCTCACGAGGCAGAACAGTGTGTTGGACGAGGAGATTTCGAGGGAGCAAGAAGAAGTGGAGAGGTACGTACTTAACTATTTGAAATTTGAATCTAAATTAAGTTCCTTTGGCTAGGATCGATTATTGCTTTCCTTGTATAAAAATGCATTTAACTGTAGAACGGTTGGTGCGCAAACCTTTTCATAAACTATTTTCCCAGGCGGCTAAGAAATGGGCTATTGCTGCAATCATCACACAAGTAGTTCTAGGAGTTGTTCTAGGAGTTGTCGTGGTAATCATCTACGCTATCTCCATCGCTGCTGTTGATTCTGCTATTGATTCCGCTGTGTACGGTTATGATGGAAAGTAGCGTAAGTGTGAAATAGATATTTTGATTTTATATTATCAAGATATTTTGAATATTAATTTAATATACTTAATCTGATTGGTGAATACTTTCTCTCCGTTTTCAGGTGAACACCCAGATAATCAGATCTCTTAACAACTCTCTTTGGAGATGACTACTCCTTACAACCGTCCAAATCACATCAATTCTTTGAGCGGACTTTGGATTGTTGATTCTCGCATGTATATTGTAGGACAGACTAATTAGAAGAATTAATATTTTTATTCTTCTGTTTGCACGATCCCTAATTGCTGGACAGGGGACTGGAGAGTGGCAGGAATTAACAATTTCGTATTGCATGCATCCTGATATTGGTACCAATGTTCGTTTATATAAACATGCTACAAATACAATGTTCTAACAGTAACTGAGTCAAACCTCAGACTAATTGGTCGGTATCCTTTATATTACAGCAAAACTCCAAGCGCGGCGGGGTTTTACTGTATAAAATATAAATTGTCAAATTACGAATCTCGCTCTATCCTTTAAACTTTTAAATGTGGAACCAAGGAGAGCCCACTGAAAATATCTTTACTGTTGCTTGTAATGTTTTAAACTATAATGTGTAATGCACTTTCCAATCTAGTGCAGTATATTTTTTCTGATGACTGGATAACTGCATACAAATTATAATTTGGATTTCACTGTAAACGGGGCTCAAACTCCCAGTTTTATATTGTTGGTGCTATTACGTGACTTTGTGTGAATCGAGATTTATAATGTGTCATTCAATGCATAATAATTGAAATTTAAACCACACAGTTCATGTTCAGAGTATAAAGTATATTAATATTAACGAAGAATTAGAGTTATGATGTTGAGTTACGATATTTTAAAACTTTGAATATGATAAAATATATAATAAATAGTAGAGCAGTAGTTTACATTTAATATACGGTAGCTTTACATTATACTGTAATTAGATGGTACTGACCAGATTTTCATTTAAATAGGTCCGAATATTTATAGATATGTAATTGTAAATGTCGCCATCTTTAATTCAGAAAAGAAAATTTTTACCGTGAAGAAGTCATATCTCTGAAATTATTCGTTTTCATATCGTAAGACTAAGATAGTAAGATGACGCAGTGAAACGATCGGAATTCGGACTACGATGTATGGGGACTTGTCACCCATGGCAACATTAAAATATATATGATACAGAGTCAATATATTGACTCTGTTACATTGTTTCCTGTTAATATAAAACTCCGTTACAAATTGAACTGGGATCTGGCATGCTACACCTTAGATCAATAGAATATGATGAAGTGATGTATAACTAGACTTAAGTAAAAGTCTACTGATTGATTAAAGCTTAATAATGAACTGTGAAAGAGTGGTTAATAGATTAAGAAGAACTAGTATATATACTAGTTCTATATATAGTATTTAGAGGTAAATAGTATAGTGAATATAATGGCGGCGGTCGTGCTTGCCAGCACTGTGATATCGCGTGATTGAGACAGTTTTTTCGCCAATATTTTGCCAGGGGAGCATGATTCAGAATCAGCGTCCGAAGATACATCGATTCAAGTTGGTTTTAACTGTCGGGGGGGGGGGGGGGGGGGGGGGGGCTTTAGAAAAACTTTGAAGATCGAGTGTAGCACCCTTGAGTTATAATCTATAGGGGTCATTCAAAAACGAAAACTCAGACTCAAATTGTGAGATAATCTTAGATTTTGAGATCAAATTCGCTTTTGGTATTCGTAAAGTTAAGTATTTGCTGGGCTGAGTATTTTGTCGCTAGTAAATGCTCAGAGTTGGAACTAGCACTCAAATCGGTATTCATAAAGTTAGTATTTACTCGTCACCCAAAACTAACTCAAGATTGGTATTCATAAAGTTAGCAAATGATCAAAACTCATGCTCAAAATGTGAGAACCGAATTCACATTCTCAAATCATTTTCTCACCTATTGCTCAACGACTTTTAACGTCAATAACTTCCCTTCTAATTGATATTTTCACTTCAAATTTTCAGGGACGACGCCTCACTGCCAGTACAAAAGCTCTAATATATTTTGTTCCGATTGGATGACGTTTTTGCAAATTTTCCCAGAAAAATAAACACGTTAGAGTATAAGCTTCCTTGTAAGTCCAATATAGATGCGACCATTACGGTTAGTTAAAGCTAAAAATGGTGTCCCCACGACATTCAGGAGCCAAGTAACGCAGATCAGTCATCAATTCAAAAAATAGTTATAAAAAACCTCTCTGAAAGCTTTGGCTAGGACTAGCGATAAAAATTGCGTACCGAGATGATTGTAATAGGTTGAACAGTGAAAACAAACGTACACTGCTAATTAAGCTAATATGAAATGCAATTTCCAACCACCATTGATAGTTAACATATAATTGAGCTTACCGTCCGCATCAAGCATCAAATTGATAAAAAATTACCTTTCTATCACTGTCGGTATTGGGTTAGAATAATCTGCTAGGTAATTATTGAACATCGATATGTATTTAATAAAGTTTGAGAAATTGACGGCAAACCACAGTAAAACTACGGTGGGTTTCGGGAAACTACCGTGGATAAAAGAAAACTACAGTAAATCACGGTAAACCACTGTAAAAGGGACGTGAAATTACCTGTAGGGGACACAATATCGCACACGAAACATTCATTATAGATATCAAGAATGATTCTGAATTATCTTCGGAGTCAAGGGTGTTGTCATTTTGCCGCCATTTCAAGATTGCGATATCACAAATTCCATCACAGACATATGCGGTACGTGATGTGCGAATGTCGAATGTACTCGACACAAATTTCCCTCGAAAATGTTTATTTCACATTCCTTCGATACATCGATGTACATCCGAATTTGGGTATTTTCCCATTAACATAAGATGGCAAACAAAAGATCTGAATTAACCTGTCGTGCTTCTTAAAATACTGATTTGAGTATTTTAGTGCTAGTTTGAGAGCATTTTAGTGAGTATTTACTTGAACATGTAAGTCATACTCACGATGAATTCAGCTTGAGTATTAGTTTTTACTGGGCAGTAAATGCTCAAACTTTGTGAATACCGATTTTGAGACTCAGAAAAATCTAAGTAATTACTAGCGAGTATTTACTTAAGAAATACTTAGTTATTATGAATGACCCCTTATATTGAACATTGAACAACCATTACATAACAGTGTTACACATCTCTTAATATAACTTATAGTGCTCTGATACGCACATGGGACACAATTCAGGAATAATAACTCCCACGTGACACAGGGATGACTCCCACGTGTTGCATTTCGTCCCGCTCACAGCAACGCAATACTAGAACGTGTCACAAATATATTTGCACGTGCCGCATTATATATTCTCGTTCCTACAATGCGCACGACTTGTGGGTCATATATCAGTGACCTCATACTCTCTTTGTCACTCCGTTCGCGTTTTTTGTATGTTTGTTGTTGTGTCTTTAGTTACATAAAAACAACTATAGTTGTACCATGTTTAGATTTTTAATTCAGTGATTTAATGAATTGAGCACATGGTCCGTGTTTGTGCGAGATCTTATCAGTAGCGAGTCTTAACTGCAGTATATGTTAGCAGTTCTGAGTTCCGGACTCGATCAGTTAATTATCTGCGCCGGCTAGTTATTTTATAGATACACGTTGTATCGGGAATTGCACTAAAGCAGGTTTTTAGGAAACAAGGGCAGAAATAATGGAATAAATGGTCCATGGAGGGGGTTCTACAAATATGTTCTTTTTTTTAAACGATTCCCGCGAGCAAACATTATTTAATGTTATTAGTTTAAATATAGATTTTTACATCTATAACTGATCCTTAAACTAGGATTGTCAAATCTTAGGGTGCGGTACTCTAAAAGTATAAACGACAATTATAAACAACAAGTGCGTCACAATTACATTTACTTTGCGATTCTGCACTTGCCTAAAATTGCTAAACGTGGGGTGATCAGCTCTAGGGCCAGGGGCTAATCCATGATAAAATTATTTATCGCAATAAAATAAACTTATACAATATTCGTAAAATAGCGATTATTATCATGGTAGACTACGTTAAACATCAAGATGAAGATGAACCACCATCTTATGAACAGGGAGCAGATACCCCTCAACAACAACAGAACCCTCAACAAGGGTACCCACCTCAACAAGGGTACCCTCGACAACAAGGGTACCCTCCTCAACAAGTTTGTCAGATTTTATTTTACATCTTCGTGGTTTTTAAAATACTCATCACCCATTTATAATTTAGTATATAGTAGATGTATATTATAATGGGGATGTGTTTTTTAATTTGATTGATCAATGCTGGAAGGTCATTGGTTAATGGTTGCGCATGTCACCAGTCTGGAAAGATATTTCCACCTCCCCACGAGAATCCACAAGTAAATACCTCTATATAGACCTCGATTATGATATCCCACAGTTGGTCTCACATTTCTCATCCCCAGAAGGATACTTTTGTTAAAAACTAGAACTTCCATCATTAATGACACAAGTGTATTTGTAACGAATCATTTTCAGCTTATCCTGGACTTATTAATGTTTATTCTCAATTTTGACTGAATTTGAACTACTTCGATTTCCTCAGGTGTATCCCCGGCCCGCTCAAGGTCAGCCCGGTCAAGGTTATGTTATTCAACAATATCCTCAACAACAAGTCGTTGTGGTAGGTATATTTTTCACCTTGATTTTTTTTGTGAAACTTGGTTTCGAGATAGCAGTTGACCAACAAGCTAGGACCGGTGACCGAACTTTTGAGGGGGTCCCGGACCTCAACCGCCAAAAGGTGCCACGGGGCAGCCGGCAGCCACGCCTATATTTGGTCCAAATTAGGCCCAATTTAGCCAAATACCCTGAACATGCCCAAAACCCAGATTTTTAGGTGCTCTTTAGGTGGTCCCCTGAACTCGTATATGAATTTTCATCAAGATTGGTCAAAAAATGACTGAGTTATGAGCCAAAAACCATACGACCATATTTGGGCATAAGCACCAAATTTGATTGATTTTGGCCCATCAATTGGTCAAATATCAATATTTTTGAATGAAACAACTTATTATGGAAGGTAAGCCTATACAACACATTCTCTATGATTATAAGCTCAGTATCTACCTAACTGTGGACAAAAAATGACTGAATTATGAGCCAAAAGCCATTATATGACCATATTTGGGCATATGCACCAAATTTGATCGATTTCTACCCATAAATGTCTGGCAAATTTCAGAATTTGGCCGCAAAATTTTTTTAAAGGCCTAATTCAAAATTCCATTTTAAAACTTAAGGTCGAAATGTAATTCTACGTTGACTCTGAAAATTTCATATAAAAACATTGAAACCCTATTGAGTTCTATTGTTTTGAGTGAAATGAGTTTCGCAAATATCGCGAACTGAGATATGGGCGATTTTGTTCATTTTTTGCGATTATGTGAACACAGAATCCACAGTTAGGTAGATACTGAGCTTACAATCATAGAGAATGTGTAGTATAGGCTTAGTGCTTACCTTCCATAAAAAGTTGATTTCATTTAAAAATATTGATAAGACGGGTCCCTGCTAGTAATTATACCTGAAATGTCTCATAATTGTTGTACTATTCAAGGGGACTTAGCAATCTATAGTCAGTACTCTGGTTTCAATGTGATATTCCTGCACTACGGTAAATACTGCTGAGTGTAAGTTTTATCTTGATAGCGGTGATATTAAACTTCAATACACTATTGAAATCATCTTCAAAACATTTCCCAAACTCCCTCGCCAGGCACAGTAAAGCAACTTAATTAATAAAAACTAAAACTGTTGTTATATAACTTGAATCGTGTATAATAGCGACTTAATAACAAACTAAATAGTTATTCTCTAACCTAAACGTAATGTGTAACGTAGGTACAACAAGGATACCAAGCATACCAAGGATTCCCTCCAAAAACGAACATAATCTTAGCCCGGATAGCAGCCCTGTGTTTCTTCTGGCCGATTGGACTGGTTGCTGTACTGAAAGCTCGCGAGGCACAACGGTGTGTTCGACGCGGAGATTACGAGGGAGGAAGAAGAATTGGAGAGGTACGTTCTTAACTATTTGAAATTTGAATCTGAATTTAGTTCCTTTTGCTAGGATAATTATTGCTTTCCTTGTATAAAAATGTATTTTACCGTAGGATTACGATCGGTGCGGAAACCTTTTCATATACCATTTTCCCAGGAGGCTAGGAAATTGGCTATTGCTGCAATCATCACACAATTAGTTCTAATAGTTGCCGGGGGAATCATCTACTTCGTTGCTATGGTTGCAGGATCAGCGTAAAGTTCCACTGTGTACAGTTATGATGGAAAGTAACGTAATTGTGAAATAGATATTTTTATTTTATATTATCATGATATTTTGAATATTAATTTAATATACTTAATCTGATTGGTGAATACTTTCTCTCGTGTGATTTTTCCCGTTTCCAGGTAAACACCCAGATTATCAGATTTCTTAACCGTAGATCAGCCAACTCTCTTTAGGGATGACTACTCCTTACAGCCGTCCAAATCACATCGATTCTTTGAGCGGACTATGGATTGTTGATTCGTAAATTGTAAATTGTAGGACAGACTAATTAGAAGAATTATTATCGTTATTCTTCTGTTTGCACGATCCCTAATTGCTGAATGGGAGAGTGGCAGGAGTTAACAATTTCGTATTGCATACATCCTGATATATTGGTACCACTGTTATATAAACATGGAATGCTACAAATACAATGTTCTAAGCAGTAACTGAGTCAAACATTAAGACTAATTGGTCGGTATCTTTTATACAGCAAAACTCCAAAGAGAGCCCACTGAAAATAACTTTACTGTTGGTTGTAATGTTTTAAACTGTAATGTGTAATGCACTTTCCAATCTAGTGCTGTATATTTTTTTGATGACTGGATGACTGCATACAAATTATAATTTAGATTTCACTGTAAACGGGGCTCAAACTCCCAGTTTTATATTGTTGGTGTTATCACGTTACTTTGTGTGAATCGAGATTTATAATGTCTCATTTAATGCATAATGATTGAAATTTAAACCACACGGTCCATCATCATGTTTAGAGTATAAAGTATATTAATATTAACGAAGATTTAGAGTTATGGTGTTTAGTTACGATATTTTAAAACTTTGAATACGATAAAATATATAATAAATAGTAAAACAGTAGTTTACATTTAATATACGGCAGTTTTACATTATAATTTAATTATGTGGTACTAACCAGACCTAATATGTTTACCAGATTTTCATTTAAATAGGTCCGAATATTTATAGATATGTAAATGTCGCCATCTTTAATTCAGAAAATAAAACTTTTACCGTGAAGGAGTCATATCTCTGAAATTATTCGTTTTCATATCATAAACTGCGTGCTGTTTATATATTATGACGCAGTGAAACTATCGGACTACGATGTATGGGGACTTGCCACCCCGTGGCAACATTAAAATATATTGACTCTGTTACATTGTTTCCTGTTAATATAAAACTCCGTTACAAATTGAACTGAGATCTGGCAATACTACACCTTAGATCAATAAAATATGATAAAGTAATGTATAACTAGACTTAACTCTTAAGTAAAAGTCTGATAGAATATAGAAAATAAAATAGTCTACTGCTTGAAAGCTTAATAATGAACCGCACGTGAAAGATTGATGTCTAAATCAAGAAATTTTGTAGACAAATTGCTAGAGTTTGTAACTACGATCTTCAACTCAGGGTAAATATCCTTGCACGTATTATATCGACAGTCTTATGACTGATATTGGGGGTAGTAAAATCACCCATATTTCGACTAGCATGTTTCAATGTGTAAGCCGCAGGGTTCTCGTTTTTAACTTGCAATGCAATGTAATCATGCTCGTACCAGTATAGAAATAGGTCGGCGACCTGGGAAGCACAATCACATCCCATAGGGATACCAATTACCTGTCTGTAAATCACACCTCGAAATTTAACATAAATATTATCCATAAAGAATTTAAACATATCTATCAGATCACTGCATGTAAAAAACCACTTAGTCTTGTTAACTCCCGACCATCTTGTCTGAAACTGGTCGTTGAGTTTGATAAAATCAAGCTTCTTTAGTAGATATAATATAGTAACAGTTCTCGTCACTTAATCAAATAAGTAACGGTCCCCGTTGTGCAAGTGCTGTGGGTAACTCGAGTACGTTCAGTGTTAAATTTTGTACAGTTCCCCAGGTTTATGAAAGTGCTGTGGGCGTACATGGGTAAGTTGAGTACGTACAGTGCTAAATTTTGGACAGTTTCCCAGGTTTATGATATAACTATTTATTTTGTTAAAAATGTGTTTTAAGAATTGTTTAGAATCTGAAACTGAAAGCTAGATTATAAACGGTTCAAAATTATGTCATGAAATGAGCCAAATGACATCCAGGTGTTCACCAAGAATTCATAGATCTTATCTAATCACTGTAGGTTTACCATTGAAAGCACAGGTCCTAGGCCGTTAATATTTCAATCCCAAGAACTGAAAGCTAAATTATAAACGGTTCAAAATTATCTCATTAAATGAGCCAAATGACATGATATAGGTGTTCACCAAGAATTCAATGTTAGATAGATCATAGAACTTATCCAACCACTGTATACCATTGAAAGCACGGGTCCTAAGCCGTTGATATTTTAATCATCATTTACCAACTTACAAGCCTTCCAGGTGTTCATCGAACGAGTGATATCATAAATCTTCTCCAATCAGCGTATACGAGCGAAATCACGTGAACCAACGCCCTAAAACAGCTCTGAACAGGTGGCATGTAAATAATGATAATAACGTGGCAGATAAACTATATTTCATAGTGACATGCACTAGATTTTAGTATAAATAGTGTCCTCTTTTTCAAACAGCCTCATTTTCAATGGAGCTACCACAGCTCCGGAACTCTTTTGAGATCCACTCACCCCCTCCCCCCCTCCCTCCCTCATCCTAGTTTGTGTTTACAAAACTCAAAAATATTCTAAAAATTGCTGTGGTATGGCTGATGCTGACGGTTCGTTTAGCGGGATCTGAGCCTATCTCCAGTGCCATGAGTCAGCTTTATCACAGATTGGGGTTGGCTCTCAAGAAAAGACGGAATCAGGAGAGTATTCTCTCCAACCTTGTCAAATGTATGTGGGGACTCCCACTAAAATGAGTTATGTGACGCACAGTTGGGGACTAAAACACCCCGGATCTCAATGATCGCTCTTTATTCTATAATGAGCTGCTGATCTTAGAGATCCACTCACCCCCTCCCTTTATCCCTCCCTCATCTTAGTTTGCGTTTACAAAACTCAAAAATATTTAAAATTGCTGTGGTATGGCTGATGCTGACGGTTCGTTTAGCGAGATCTAAGCCTATCTACAGTGCCATGAGTCAGTTATATCACAAATTTGGGGTTGGCTCTCAAGAAAAGACGGAATCAGGAGAGCATTCTCTCCACTCTTGTTAAGTATATGTGGGGACTCCCACTAAAATGTGTTATGTAAACGGCTTAGTGACTCAGTTGGTAAATCGGCCTGGCATTTCTCGAGGTACCAGGTTCGATTCCCGACTCTGTCACTAGCCGTGGGGTGAGCGTCATCGACGCTCAGCTAAGGATCCTGAGTGGTCTATGCAGCCCCCCGGTCCACTCAGCCTAATACTCGAGAAATCGGGTGTGAGGGTTAAATGAGGAGCTGCCCATTGCAGCAAAGTCTTGGGCGAAGAAAGTATGGCACACGCTTACCTTAAATGTCTGAAATAAAATAGGTGTTGAGCGAACGTACACTGTACAGTGATGATTTTAGAGACTTTTTCTATGTCCATTTGTAATTGTACACTATGTGCTAGCTTCACTCTCTATCAGAGTAAAAGTCTATAAGGATAAAACTCTGATAATTATAGTTCACTGTAGAGTTAGATTTCCTGAAGAATATCTAGGTATACTAAGTCGAGAAAACGATCTTAAAATTTATTCCGCTTTTATTTTTATTCCCACTCTCGATTCTTTGCTAGCAGTCCGGTTAATTTAGTACCTTTAGTGGGTCTCATTTAATCATTAGCTCTAATTAAAGAACCTCTCACCCTCTCAGAAAACGCCGTTTGGAGATATTCCTTATTACGCTCTAAGTTATTAATTTTCCTTGTGTTTGAATCCTATCACTTTTTAACTGTTTTTAGTCTTTGTTATTTTCGGCTGATTTCTGCACTTTTACACTGGGTCATCATTCATAATTTCTGGGATTGAGACGACTTACATCAGCATTTAAGGAAGAGTTTGCTTGTCTGACTTACTTCATTAGACACTTCTGGTCAAGAACTGAACAAGAACCACATTCGAAAACTGGAACATCTGAATGACTCCGCAACCCAGGAATCAACTACTCAGTTATTATCGCTCAATAATCGGTTTGGTATCGACGTTACATACTTTATTATTTTTTAAAAAAAGCTGATTTTAGAAACCAGGGAATTAAAATTACCCTCCTAAGGCTAACTTTAAATCGCTGATTTTATTTATATATATCACTTTTTTTGTTCTTTCTTTTCCTTCAAAACATTCCAGTACATTGTGCAGAAAGTTGGAGATGAAGCCGTAGTACGTACATGTAGCATTGCACTGGATCGAACTTGCAGAGTGTGGTTTCCTCCAGTCTGCGCCGCGCGCTTATATAAACATACGCGGCGCAGATCGACTGGAGGAGATTGCACTGTGTAGGCTCCGGTGTAATGTGATATGTATGTACTACGGCTTTACAAATTTTGGAAGCATGTAGGGATATATATCTGATACCAATCGTTTATACTAAAAATACTCTAGCACAATTGTAACTGCAGTTTTACAGAACTCTAAATGCTTAATGAACACTCTTGCAGGTACCACCCGTATTCACACTCAGACCTGAGTTTAGTCATTTTCCGATACGAGATTGGGGACGGGTTCTATAAACAAACAAACAAACAAGTCGAGAAAACAAACAAGTGATACACAGTGTTTGATGATGAAGCTAAACAAATATCTAGTATACATCACAAAATAAACTGTAATATTTCACAAACGTTAGATTAATAGAAAAATGATCGCTTAATTTATAATCTAAATCCATCAAGTCTTTGAATCAAATATCTAGCTTTTGCAAGAGAACAGTTTCTGTAACGATGTAATTTAAAACAGTTCGGATTATCGAGTTGTGTTGGGTAGTTGAAGTCAATCAGAGAATAAACATCGATAACTTTACTATCTGGTAGGTTTGTAGCAAAGAAACAACGTTCAATTTCTCCTGCGCAGTAAATTCTACAATACTGTATCTCTTCAAGTATTTTAGGATATACCGCTGCAGGGAGACAACAACTCTCGTTATCGGTTGGTGAAAAGCCATTCAAATGTCGCTGAGAGAACTTTGCTATTTTCATCTCATCTGGATTCAGGTACATGTTCTCTGGATTCTTGAATTGAAAAATGCTGCTCCTGCTCATTGGGAAATATGAGAGTGAGTTCTCTGACTATAAATCCTCCATTCTGAGTAGTGAAACCCTCGATAGCTGCGATAACGAATTCAAAGTTCATATTTTAGAAATGACACAATTTATCCACGACAGAGCTTTTATTGAATGTGACATGTGATAATCATGTGACAGGGAGCTCATTACTAGGATTAACATGTCTTGAGCGACTGGGGAAGTATCGGCGCAAATTCATGAGGCGATATCCGATGTTCCGTTCAGATTCTTGCAGCCCCATCTTTTTTCACTTTCTTAAAAGCTCTGTCTATGAATGAATGGTTGAATTCGTTAATGTATCGTCCGTAGAATACAATTTCTGCAGAACACATTTGTAACCACAGACGAGCAGCGTTGATATAATTATTTTTGTCTTTCGAATGGTTATCACTATGAGGTAAAAGCTCCTGTACCTGATCGTAATAAACTTCGATATCCGTTAACATGGGTCCTCTTACTTCCTCAAAGTGAATTTGCAGCTTCTCTAAAAGTCCACGTTGATGACAAATGTGTAACAGAGGGCTCTTTATTTTTGATTCACACGCTGAGCACTTGAGAGCAGACATTTGTTCACATTGTCGAGCAATCTGCTCAGCAAGAAATCCCAAGTATACATCATGAAAATAATTCATAGCTACAGATTCTAAAGTGTTGATCAAGAAATGAGCACTGTTAACAGATTCATCTGTTTTTAAAACTCATAGTCATAAATGTAATAGACGAGATTTTGATATAAAATTGAGTCGATATTGCTACAGTTTGCAAATAGATGTTCTTGAACAACAGTTAACTTACAGTTGTGGTATAGGTCCAGGTAACAACATGGCTGAGTGTCCAAGAAAACACGCTTGAAAAATGATTCCATAATAAATTCATAAACATATTTTCCAGGGCAAATATGTCTTATGCTGCTTTTTTGCAAACAGTATCGGCAAAGCTTGTTCTTTTTGGTGTTGGCATTGTGATGTTGTGTG